CGGTGTAATATATATATATATACGTTTAGAAGATTGAATTCCGGAAACTTTTTTTTCAACTAATATACTATTTTATACATCGTATTTTGAACTTGTTAAATAAAATTCAAAACAAAGAAATTAAAGGCAAGAACTGTAAACAATACCCATTCAAAAAAACCAGATTAACTGTGCACCATAATATCATTACCTATAGCCATAATTCGGGGGAAAATACAAGAATTCCTTAAAAGACTCGAAAAAATTGGGTGATTGTTGAACCTTAATATCGTTACCATTTATACCTTAATACGAAAAAAATGCAGCGCAGCTTTCATAGAGGAGAAATTAGGCTATATTTCAATTCAAGTTGAGTCATAGTATTGCTTAATTTGGTTTAAAAAACTATTACTTTATAGTTTAACACGTACTGAATTTGTGAATTATGTACTATTCTGTGTGTATTCTTAAGCAATTTTAAAATTATTTGAACAATTTCTTTAATAATTTCCAAGCAAATGCATCCTTTTTTTTTTTAGCTGTAGCAATGTTTCTGGTTGGACTTGTTGGTATATACTTTTCGAATTGCGACTTGCTATGGAATATTGTTTTTCTTTATTTTATTTCTGCTGCTCCAGCTTTTACTTTTGGAGGAAGTGTGATTGCTGCTGTTGATATGACTCCTACATACTGCGGTAAGTTTCACAATATTTTAGAAATTTTTCTATTGTCATAATTAATCGAGCAATATTCAACATTTTCTCTCCAAAAGTGAGATTTTTGCTACAATTTCTTTCTTAGCATTATTTCCAAATATATACCGAGTGAGTTTCTGGAATTTCCATTAAATCAAGATACGATACTCAAAAATATCACCTTTCCTATCTGAAATTCGTCCCCTCGATCCGTAAAAGGTGCTCGTGAAAATACGTGTCACGGCAAAAGATTTTATGCGTAAAAACACTTACAACTTTAACTATTAATTTTGATTACTCGAGTTTCATTCAATTTAGCGTGAAAAAAATACGTAAGAAACAATGCCTCATTTATTTAGATAGAAATGTTAGCTCAGTTAAAATATATATATACCTACAAAATTGGACTTTCCGCACATAAATCCTTATAACTTCTAAATTATTCGTTGAATTGTCTCGGAATTACTTTTAAGCGTCAAAAAGTAATCAGAAACAACACCTCATTTGCCTGTTTAGAAGAAATTCTATTTTTCCCCTCAAATCACCCCATTTCTTTCAACAACAAAAAAGTGTAAAAAATAAGAACTTTTTCAGTGAACGAACATGTCCTATTGAGCATAAAACCGTTCGTAAAACTGTTACTGGAATTTTTGGAGTCTCTTGGTATATTGACCCTTCTAGTTATAATGTTTTCTCACACGATACTATGAATAATATTTATTTGTTTAAGCGAAGATGTTTATTTCTTTTCTGTTAATTAATATCTTTGACTTTTATCTAGGTCCTCTTATGGGACTATCAACTACTGTAGCCAGTTTGCCTGGATTTATGATACCTATTCTAACTGGGAAATTAACTAAATATGAGGTAAGTTTTATAAATTTATTACTCCTTGTACTTGATTGGAGAATGTATGAAAGTGCCCCGAGTTGCTAATATTACATTATACACCGAAGAGCCATTACATTATGACCACCCGGCTAATAACATGTAGGACCACTTTTAGCCTTCAAAACTGCTAGCACCCGCCGTGGCATTGATTCCACAAGGTGCTGATAGGTAGTCTGAGGTATCTGGTACCAAGAGCTCACCTACTGGTCCTGCAATTCCCTCACATTGCGAGGGGGTAGCGTGGCAGCACGAATTTGGTTTTTCAAGTAGGACCACAAATGCTCTATTGGATTAAGGTCAGGTGAATTTGGGGGTCAAGACATGACTTGAAAGTCATCGGAATGTTCTTCGAACCAATCCATGACGATTCGACCCTTATGGCATGGTGCATTATCCTGTTGGTAAACAGTATCACCCGCAGGAAAAACTGTTGCTATGAATGGGTGAACCTGGTCTGCAACTATGTTCAAGTAGCTTACAGACGTCAGGGATTGTTCTATGAGGATTATGGGTCCTAATGTGCCCCATGAAAACATTGTTCCTAAGCGAGAAACCATGAAAACCTCTGCGAGTCCATTGTTATAGATGGAGGGTGGTCACAATGTAATGGCTCTTCGGTGTATACTCGTAAGTTGAAAAACTGGAATAGGGAATTAGACATATTCTTGGGTAATGTTATTTTGGAGAATATATATTTACTAAGTTTCTGGAATGATTTACTTAAAACTAAGTCGAGTGTAGTGTATTAATTAGCTATTAGATCTTATGGGAAGTCAGAAGGGCATATATTTCAATTATGCTACACTGTAAAAAATGGATACTCAAATTTCACAAAAATTTCTTCGTTTTTGTCGAAACCGTTTTCTGGTATATGCTCCAAGCAAATATTTCGTAAAAGTGACGAAATAACTATCGTCACTTCTTCGAAAAAATGAATTTCGTAAATAAATAAATATTTCGTCATTCTATTTTTTTCCAAAGATATCGTATTGACAAATTTATCCAACTTTCTTAATAATCACTTCATTCTGAGAATCATACAGCTAAGTCAACATTAATAGCACAAGAAAGGCAAATAGAACAGAGATATAAAACACCCATGTCTGAGACAGAATGCGATCTTCCTAGTAAGATGCCACCTCCTTGACCTCCATACAAACCTGTCGGCTTATTTCATTTTCTTATTTTAGATCACCTAGTCTTTATCCTAGTTTCGTCATTCGTGTTAACAATCTTGCACAATGCACTGCGTTGAGGTTTCGAGTTGAGGGCGCATCTTCGTCATATATTTGGGAGTTCCCGCTTCGTCACAAGTCCCGTGATTGCGGGACAAAATAATTCTCAAAATTAACGAAATATAGCTCAATTTTTACTGAATCGTCAAAAGTGAGAGTTTTATTTCTGAGAGTGTCAAACTGACCTTTTTGCTTGAATCTTTTCTCTGCATCTAAACAAGATATTGCTTCAGTTTTATTTTTACAGAATATGACAGAGATATGTTTCAAAGAAAATTTACATATATATATATGTATTGTTGAGTTGTTGCGAAAGGAAGGTCCCTTACATTATTTAATTTTTTTTTTAAATTCAGACCTGTGAATTTCGATGTAAAAACTCAGAACATTTTCTTGCAACTGCACAATTTCAATTTTGAAGAATTTAGCTACGATTTCAAATTAGTTGACCAATAATCACCGTGTTCATAAAAGAATGCTCCAGTTATAAGTTCTTTTAGTTTTAACTGCAATTATTCTGAAAATTCAGTTCAAGGTTGCAATTAAAAAGTAGCTTGAACTGTTTCATATAAGCAAATACGCGAGTACTACAAAAGGCATTAAACAAATGTAGTATGAAAATATGCAAAATAACGACTTCTGATCATAGGGTGATTCTTGCTCTTGAATTTGTTAATAGTGAATCGGGTCAAATTTCGTTTAAAGTTTAATTATGATCACTCACAAGCCAAAAACATCCACAGCTCGGGCAGAAATTCGAAACTATCGAATGTTATTCATTCACATTCAAGCAATACCTAAGAAATTGGCCACTAGAATTGAGACTCAGGACTGAAGATCCTTTGATGTCCTTTAATGTTAATTTGTTAACCAAAATAAGGAGAGAAAAGAACTCAAGTTGGGCCTTATAAGAAGTAGTGCACATATTCAGCATTTGAAAGAAAAATTAGGTTAGTTTACCTATAATATCTGTGATTTGTTGTAAATCACTTTAATTCAACTGTTATAAATGACTATAGGAGTTGGAACATTCTTTTACGTTTCTTATGGTCTAAATTTGTTAACAAATGCTTGATTTCAATATCAATATAATTTCAGCAAACAATGTCGCAATGGCATAAGTTGTTCTTGATCACTTCCATTGTTGTATCGTTGAATGGTGTGGTATTTCTCATATGGGGATCTACTGAAATTCAGCCCTATGATCCAGCCTACAGGACAGAAAAACGTCCAGAGTCTAAACCTGATGTTATCGTTCTAGAACATTCTTCTACATATTTTTGACTGCACAAACAACAGAATTGAAAATTTCTTATTGAAGTCACAATGAAAGTTTATAATTTTAAAAGGCATTTGGTTTAGAAAGAAACATCAAAAATACGACAATTCTTACTGTTTTTCTTTATTTTGTAAAGTAATTTTATATTTTAGTTAATTTATTTTATATTTTATTGTAATAAACTACTTTTTTGTACATCTTTCTTTTTTCTATTATATGACTCGGTCTCTTGCTCATTATTAATTAATCAATGATACAAGGGAGAAAACTCTGCTCAGAATTTTATTGGTAGTATAAATAATTCAAAATATGATAAGGTCAAAGGTTTTTAGGGAATAAGAGTTTGAAAGATTTTTTAACTATTAAAGGGTAGTCGTATTTTTCTCCTTTTAAAATTTGAAAAGCTACTTATTAAATTTTACATGAGAACATATTTTAAAATTATTTTGCAATTTTCTTCTCACCCTTTTTGCATTCTTACGTAACATTTTACTTCAGTGTTTACTTCATGATTTATGATACGCATACAGAGTCAGTCGCGACAGAACCCCGAAAAGGGTGCGCTTGGATTTTTTTGGCTAAAGTGATTGTCGAACAAACAGGCGAAGATTCGATATAAAACGTAGCCGTACCTCAAATTATATTGATAAAATAATTTTGTTCAACATGTATCCTAACAGTAGGAATTTTGTCATTATAACTTAATTTGACGCCTCTTGATTCGTCGATCAGAAACATGTCAACTGTTCGAGTATGGTTCAACCTTACATAAGAAAAAGGAAGTTAACATTTAAGGGGGATCTTAATGGAACACCCTGCATATTCTTGATGTAAATTATTCTCACATAAATAAATAAATTTATGCAAAAGTTTTAAATAAGTCAGCACAATAAGCATAGGTTAAGCCTTCGAGCCATTAAAATTGCGTCCGAGTACTGAAAATTTGATTATAAGATGAAAAGTTATTCAGCGGATATTTTTTAATTTGGTACTTTCAATTTTATTTTATGAACATGATTCGCTGAGCATTTTATGATTCGTTGAACTGCCAGACCAATTTTGGGTTTACGATTGCTAATATATAACTCCGTGGCCTTGTAATTTTGAACCCAAAATAAAAGACAAGGGAACTTATCTGGATCAAGTATGGGAAGAAATTTGCTTTCGTGGACGGCTTTTTGATAGAACTAACCCGCATTTGCGTTACATAGAGAGGAAAACCACGAAACCTCCTGCGATTTACCTAGCAGCAAGGAGACTCTAACCCATGATCCGTTTACCACTGAGGATATTTTACGTCAACACTGTGTTTGGGGGCCGGGTGTGGAATTCGTATCGACCAGCCATAGCTGGGATTCGAACCGAATTTACCTTATATGAACGCGAATGCTCTATCCCCTGAGCCACGACGGCTTTTAATCGGGTACTTGAAATTCATCATATGGCTGTGTCTAATCACGTGGCTGTGCATGGCGTGTTAACTTTACAAACTTAATACTTCGGTTTATTATCACGCTGTATCCGTTTTCGGATCAGATTTAATTATATACCTAAAAGCGATACGATGCGTTCGTCTCAAATATAAGTGGTTGACACAAGTGCGACGTCGCTTGCAGGTATCCAATATGTGTACTATGCAAATATATTTCATAAATTCATCTGATTAGTAATGCTTCGTTCTCTATCGAAACCTGAATTTGGATTCAACTAAACACAATCTTTCCCAACTCAATATTTAATTTTCATACAAATATCATAAGTAATATAACTTTTTTTCAGCAAAGCTCATTGATTTAGTTGCATTTTAGAGACAGACATGCTTACAAGACGATTTTAATTAAGTAAACTCATGTTTGTGAAAATTGCAACACCATGAGGGAATCGTCATAATTAAATGAAATTTAATACACAGCTGACTAGTAGTAGTACAAATAAATTATAAAATTTTCAAAGCAAACAAACAATAACAAGAGATCAAAATCAGTATTTTGTGTAACCACCACGCGCCGCATTAAGTGCTGTTACACGACGTGGCATGGAGTCAAACAAATTTTGAATGTCTGCCTGAGGAAGAGCGCTTCATATTGTTTGTATGCGTACCCAAAGTTCGTCTGTAGAAGCAACAGGACGATGATCACGAGTGAGACGCCAACCATCGAAATCCCACACATGTTCAATCGGCGATATATCCGGGGAATACGCAGGCCAAGGAAGAAGCTGTACCTGCCGCGATGCAAGGAAGGATTGAACAGTTCTAGCAATATGAGGGCGGGCATTGTCCTGTTGAAATACAGCGCCTGTCGAGGCTTGAAGGAAGGGAACAGCTTGGGGCTGTAGAACTTCACTGATGTGCCGGTTGCTGTTCAGATTACCCATAATTCGTAGCAATTGAGATCGTCCATGATATGCTATGGCACCCCAGACCATAACTCCAGGTGTTCGTCCACTGTGGCGTTCGATAACGCACTCCGGAAGGTGGAGTTCACCGGCATAGCGTCTGACATGAATTCGACCATCATGGTTCTAAAAATTAAAGCGGGATTCGTGAGAAATCACGACACGCTAACATTCAGCACGCCAGTCCCTATGCTGTTTGACCCATTGCAGCCGCAGGCGGCGATGGTTTAGCGTGAGGGGGATCCTGTATAAAGGAGTCCCTTGAGCGCAGTCCATGCTGCAGCAGACGTCTATGAATTGATGAAGCACACAATGAAACACCTGTCGCTATTGACCACTGTGCTGCCAGTTGTCTAGTGGGGACCGTACTGTCAGTCAGCGCCATTCGGACCAGGTGTCTATAGTCTCGAGCTGACGTGACATTTCGGGGTCCACTCCCGGATTTCCAAGTTGTCTGACACTCGTTCGTCCACTGCTTCCAAACACACACCACTGTGCTGCTGTTACGCTGCACACGAGCGGCATCTGCACCATAAGATAATCCAGCTTCCCGAAGGCCGATGGTTCTCCCCCGTTCAAAGTCCGTAAGTTGCTGAAAACTCGCTCTCTTTCGTCGAAGAGGCATAAGTAACGACTGAACTAACGTTTACCACAAGCAGATTACCACCGATTACCATACACGCGTCGCTACAGCCGTCTATTTATTCGGATCTATCAGCCGTTCAGAGGGCGCTGCTCAGCATGCGCATGCGCTACAGGTCTGAAATTCTAATCATTTGCATAACATGCTCTACTTTGCATTTCCTGAAAATTTCAGCTATCTCGCATAAGTCCTTCATGGTGTTGCAATTTTCACAAACATGAGTTTATTAAAGTTTTCAATTTAGAATTACGAAAAATTGTTATCTTTCTTTTAATCTTTATGATTAAATGCTACGTCACTATTATTATTCGATAACATTTACTCAAGTTTAGAAAAATTCTAAATTTGAATTTTAAAACAGACTATACTTTATATTTTAAAATAAACTATATTTTATATTTTAAAGCAAGCTGTACTTTATATTTTTAAACAAGCTATACAACTTTTAAAAACTTAAAATTCAGATCATTAAATTAAAAGTTATTAATGTGTTCTCTTTTTCTAATTTCTACATTTATTTAAATTTAACTTAAATCTTTAATGGTTTAAGAAATATATTTAAATTTCACTTGAAAAAAATTCTTCTCTGTGATTCCAATTAAAAATTTAAACAGTATTTTGCTATTCTGTTTAAAACTGTGAAACTAAGTATCAGCATGATCGTCTTTATAATGAAACGTCTTTCACGTTGTATTAAAATAAAAGTATTGTAAAGAGCAATATATAAAATAATAAATCATATTTATTTCACTTTCATGCATAATGAAACACATGTTGATTGTCAAGGTATATGTTTCATTGTATAAAGAAGTGAAAAAGAATAAATTGTAGATTATTTATTCTACACTTACTTATCAAATGCCAAAAAATAAAGCTTGTTTTGTTAACGGAAAGGCAGGAATACATTTAAGAAATAAATTTTGATTACTCGTATCACAATATCATCTCTTGGCAGCACTTTGAAACGCTAAATGACATTTGTCCAGAGAAAACATTTTGCTTGAAGGGTAAACATGTTTACTTTTTACTCCGATTTGAATTAAATATGCCACATCGTTTTTGTGAAAAGTGGACTTAGTTTAAAAGTTGACCAGCTACTTACGGGAAAATATTATCTCCTTGATCGCATTGCGTTAAATGGAAGCGAGAATAATTTTAGTTAATAATAGGGACAGTTCAGAGGGTCGTTTAGTTGGCACAATTATTATGATAAGCTTCTCAGGTTAAAACTTTAAATAGTGTTTAAATTATCGTCAGCCCTCTTCTTGTCCAATTATAAACCTGTGGCAAGAAATTATAGCTTTATTGAATTGGTAAAAAAATTAAAGTTGATAATTGAAAAAGTTTGCGAATAGTTTTGTGCATTTTAGTGTCAAAGAAATTTTCTTATTCCTTTCATTTACGTTATTCATCGATGTGCGACGTATGTCAAAAATATTATCTGCAATATCTACGTTTTTCCAATAAAAGATTATTAAAATGTCAAAAACTGGAAAATTTAATTTAGAAAGAGGAGGTAAGTGAACATTTATTTAGTTTTTAATTTCAGAAATTTCAGGATCAGTCAATAAAAACTGCATTATTTTTATTTATTCATTTTTTTTTAATTTTTAAATAGAGGCTGCCAATTTCAATATTTTTTTTTAATTTTGATAAGGACAGTTAAAAATTTTATATCGATATAAATTTTTATCTACCCAAAGGCAATTCATTGAAAATTTAAATTGTTCACAGGTTTTTTTATGAATCTTAATAATACTATTATTTATATTTATTCACGCTTAATATTAAGATGTTTCAGGCTATGATAGATATGAAAATGTAAGCAATTAAGGAATAGAGTTTAATAAAACTCTAGAAAATAGAAAATACATTAAGAGAAACTAAATGCGAATTATAACTATTAAATTTTGACACCAATACGCATTCACTATAAAATCCTTGAATTGATATAGAGGGGAATTGTGACAGTTGGGACAATTTACCTTTATGAGAACACACTCCAGCCCCTAATGTAGTATGTAGTTCGAAATAGATAATTATGATTAAATTTATAATTAAATGCAAAATTATAATTTATTATAGAAATATTTATATCTTTCTTGTACATATTAATAATATTGCTTTTATTATGAGATTACTTTGCAAAATGGTAAATAAAAACTTAATGTTTCGCAAATAGCAAGCAGAAATAAAATTTATAAGTTTATCTTTTAAAGCTATATTTAGGAAAAAATATCAGGAGTTATTTCTTTTTCATAACTTTCAAAGTAAGTTATCTTATGTTTTCATAATCTATCATTTTAAGATAAATGTTTTACCAAATTCAATATTTCGTGAAAATGAATTTTTTTTAATTTGTAACTTATAGAAAATTAACTCAGAGAGCACACGAAAGTTTTTTTTTCACAATTTCTGTAAGAAAGTGTTGAAAAGAAAGTTAATAAGAATAATTTTTGTTTTGATATTTTAATTACCAAGCTTTCGAACAAATGACAGAAACGAATTTTGCAAAATCGCATTTAATTCATAAAGATTTCTTTCCCAGTATAGCGTCGGCATTTTTTCCCCATAAATATGTGATATCGTTAGTATATCTGTAATCGATAGTATATGTAAAATGTGTACCTCTAAATAGCTTTTAATTACGTAATAATATTAGAAAACAAATGTATGATAATAAAATCAAATGTACTCTTAAAGAATTCTCTAAATTAAAATAGAAATCTTCAATTAAAATGAACATATTTTTTTCTTTTTTATCATTAATAATCTGTTAATATCGTCATAAATGTATGTAAACAATATTTCGGCAAAGTGATTTTTTATTAAAATAAAATATCCTGCGCCTATATAAATAAAATATCCTTTTAATTTAGATTTCCATTTTTCAATAACTTCAGCTTTCTTGAAGTGAGTTTAAATAAAATTGGTAACCATTTGTCACTTTTAAAAAACGTGGAAAACTTTTAAATACATAATTCCTTTTGAAGTTTGTAGCATTTAAGGATTTTGTTTTATAAATAAAGAAAAATAAAAGTCAGTAAGTTCCTAATAGGTCATATTAAATATATTTACCACCAAAAAAATGGCATTTTTATAAACTAAATGAGTTTTTTTTTTTTTTTTTTTTTTATCAATTACTGTTCTTAAAACAATTTTAATTCCAAAAATACTTTAATTTACCTTTATTAGAAATAAAGGGCCCATTAAAGAATTAATTAAAGTTTATAAAACTTAGATAAATTCACGCAATCCAAAACTAAATGAATAAATATTATTGAAATAAAGCAGAATAATTCAAACTAGTGGGTTGCGCCCCTGCTCGCTAACGCTCGCCAACTCCTTAAAATTGCTACGCAATCTTATATGGTTTGCTTCGTTCACTACTAACTTAGGTACATTACGAATGCATAAAGTTCTAAGGTTTCAAAGCAATAATTCAAATCCATATAACAACTTTTTTTTTAAAAAAAATTACATATTTTTAGTAAATACTAAATCATTAAAATAAATTTGAATTCAAATAAAGACTCATTGACTGAGACTCATTTTTCAATGAATAACTAATAACAATAATAAAACAAATAAATTCGTGATATAAATCAAAAATCGTCAAATAAATTCGTAATATATAAATTCGTGAAAAAAAGCGCTTTCGACAAAATACTAAAATAGAGATCTATCGACAAAGACTACTCACCTCTGACTAGCTTAATAGTATAAGATTGCCGCACTTGAATTGTTATTTCAGTTTCCGTTTTTAAAAGCGCTATATGTTGAGCCACCTCAGCTTGATTTGGCATGTGACATTTTTAGCGGCAATCATTGGTCGATTTTCTAGCGTTGCCATTCGGGGAGTTGTAATGAGGCTTTTTTTGTCGCCTTGTAAGAGAAATATATATATAGATAAAAAGAAATTTTCAAAAAAAGCTCAAATTACAGATTACTGAAGATTCGCTTATCTATTCTTTGAATATAATCGTACAGAAATAAGCAAAGACGTGAGTTATACCGAATTAAAACATGGACTTACAGACTTAAAAAACATGGACTTATAAAATTATCCTCTAAGACGTCATGTTTTCAGACTTATATGCAGATTTATTGATGCATATTTTGAAAAGTTGACTCTGCAAAATACTTTAAACTTGGAGTGATGTTAACAGCAACAGCTTTACAAACAAATATTTTACTTCAAATTCTGATGCATTAACTGATTTATGCAGATAATATAGCACCAATTACTTTGTTTTTTTAAATTTTTTTCTATTTATTTCTCTATTTTCAGGCCATGGAATTTTTCAAAGGCGGTATGTGGTTACATTGCTAGCTTTTTTGTGTGGTATGGTTCAGCAGACTCAGCGTATAAACATCAGCTTCGCTATAGTAGCAATGGTTAATACCACCAATATTCTGCCGAATTTGAAAAATAGGACAATAACAGATTGCGAAACTTCATATTTAGAAAGTGAAACTACAAGTTTAGTAAGTTGATTAAATATGGGTGGATCCTAGAAATCCCTCCCCCTGGCGAAATTTTGAAATTTGGCCAAGCGACCTTTTGAAATCTCGCCAAACTAGGATCTGAAAGATATTTCAGGGAGATATGTTGCAACCTTACAAAGCGTCTATTTTGATTATTTTTTATTTTGTTTTATAAATTTTTAATACTTCAAACTACTTTTTTTAATAAAAGAAAACAATGATCTGAGTAATAATCGCCAGTTTGGCACGATTTCAAAGGCAAGATTCGAGTCGCCAATGGTGGACTGCTCTAGGATTTTACTTAAAATATTTTTTCTGATACATTTTTTTAATTACGTAGAACTGCAGCCAAATCCTTCAAAGCCAATGCACAAATAAAATCGAAGCAGCATTGAGTCTCTGAAAAAATTGGTATTGAAACTATCTCGCTCTGCATGATTTTCGATTTAAATAATCTGAGAAAAACATTTATTTTTCGAATGGCAGATAGCAGCTGAAAGTTGGTATGAAGAGAGTTTAAATAAATAAAAAATATTGCTCGAAAACGTAAATGTAAAATATGGAGCTTTAAAATAAAATAAAAATTACATTACTGAACCATTGTTACGAGACTCTACCAGAAATGGCACTGCTCTGTCGTTATCTACCTTACTCAACTAAAATAAAATAATTTTAACTCCATTTTATAAAAAAACAAGAAACCTAACACTTTTTATTTACACAAAAATTTGTTAGACAATATCACCATAGCCACCGATGAAACAAATTCTAGCTTACAGCTTTTATGAAATCAAAATAACAAATAAATAAAATCTAGCTTACAACTTACATATACTCAAATAACAAATAAATAAAATTTAATACTTTTAACAACTATAACTTCAACAGATTGCTTAAGTTCTAATCTCGAATTTATAACACTAGGAGGCTCCGCCCCCTGCTCGCTAACGCTTGCCAACCCCCGAGAATTGCTACGCAATCCTATGTGGTTCACGCCGTGAACCATGGCTCGCTGCGCTCGCTCGCCAATGAACACAATGTTCTAGCACAAAGACATAATATATTATCATCAAAGACATAGTATTTTATCATCAAAGACATAGTATTGTACTTATGTAGATGAATTCTACCAATGTTCTTATTGGCTTTTAAAAAAGTATATTAGCTATTTAGATTGTACATGGTGACAAAATCAAAACATTAGCTAAATAAGAAACATATTAGCAAAATTAAATTATCAAATTGTGCTTCACTAATATTCTGCATTTTAAAGCGTGAAAATTCAATGCATAAATAAACGCGAAATATAAAAAAATTCGATGCATTCAATACAAACATTTAAACGTTTTTTAGACGTTTAGGTAGCTCACAGTAGAAAAATATCAATTCAACAGCGGCCTTTNATATATATATATATATATATATATATATATATATATATATATATATATATATATATATATATATATATATATATATATATATATATATATATATATATATATATATATATATATATATATATATATATATATATATATATATATATATATATATATATATATATATATATATATATATATATATATATATATATATATATATATATATATATATATATATATATATATATATATATATATATATATATATATATATATATATATATATATATATATATATATATATATATATATATATATATATATATATATATATATATATATATATATATATATATATATATATATATATATATATATATATATATATATATATATATATATATATATATATATATATATATATATATATATATATATATATATATATATATATATATATATATATATATATATATATATATATATATATATATATATATATATATATATATATATATATATATATATATATATATATATATATATATATATATATATATATATATATATATATATATATATATATATATATATATATATATATATATATATATATATATATATATATATATATATATATATATATATATATATATATATATATATATATATATATATATATATATATATATATATATATATATATATATATATATATATATATATATATATATATATATATATATATATATATATATATATATATATATATATATATATATATATATATATATATATATATATATATATATATATATATATATATATATATATATATATATATATATATATATATATATATATATATATATATATATATATATATATATATATATATATATATATATATATATATATATATATATATATATATATATATATATATATATATATATATATATATATATATATATATATATATATATATATATATATATATATATATATATATATATATATATATATATATATATATATATATATATATATATATATATATATATATATATATATATATATATATATATATATATATATATATATATATATATATATATATATATATATATATATATATATATATATATATATATATATATATATATATATATATATATATATATATATATATATATATATATATATATATATATATATATATATATATATATATATATATATATATATATATATATATATATATATATATATATATATATATATATATATATATATATATATATATATATATATATATATATATATATATATATATATATATATATATATATATATATATATATATATATATATATATATATATATATATATATATATATATATATATATATATATATATATATATATATATATATATATATATATATATATATATATATATATATATATATATATATATATATATATATATATATATATATATATATATATATATATATATATATATATATATATATATATATATATATATATATATATATATATATATATATATATATATATATATATATATATATATATATATATATATATATATATATATATATATATATATATATATATATATATATATATATATATATATATATATATATATATATATATATATATATATATATATATATATATATATATATATATATATATATATATATATATATATATATATATATATATATATATATATATATATATATATATATATATATATATATATATATATATATATATATATATATATATATATATATATATATATATATATATATATATATATATATATATATATATATATATATATATATATATATATATATATATATATATATATATATATATATATATATATATATATATATATATATATATATATATATATATATATATATATATATATATATATATATATATATATATATATATATATATATATATATATATATATATATATATATATATATATATATATATATATATATATATATATATATATATATATATATATATATATATATATATATATATATATATATATATATATAGTGTGTGTGCTTCCAAACTCTCAGAATTCGTATCATTGGGTAACCAAGAGTTCTTTTGGCCAGAGAGTATAGTTAACAATGTTTGCTTTACATACTTCTCAAAATTTCACATTTCAAAAAATACATAGAAAATATTTGCTATTTTATATTAGCAAGGAAGATATTCAAGCAACACATGATATTTAAGCTGAATTTTCAAGACAGAAATAATCACTTTTATATTTTATGCTAAAAATTTTTAAATTTCTTTTTTAAAAAGTGAAATTTTGCATTCAGCAAACGTTTGTATGTTGAATAAATTCTGATAATTTAAGTTAAGGGATTACTTCTGCACAATTCAGATTGTGTGTTATCAGTTTTAACAATAATAAAAATAAATTTTAAGAAACTCTTAGAACCGAAGAATATGCAGTATCAAATTATTAACTCCAGATTGAAACATGATTTTATTGTTTCACATAATTTTAAAAGAACCATTCTAAAATTTTGAAGCTAATGAGAGAAAGGAAATTTTGAAAATTTCTAAAAATGAAAGATGCAAATTTGAAAAAAAAAATTTAAGTGACTATCTTTTCGTATTTCAGCTTTTCTAACTGGGATGACACTTTATAGGCGTATTTTAGTGACATAAAATGAGTGAAAATTACAAAAAATAATTATCTCATTTTAATTATTCTAGTAAAATACACACTATCAGACACTTTTAGCCCACAACGATTATGCATAGGTAATAAAACAAGTAATATTAAAAAAAAAAATTCCAACTTAGCTCTAAACTTCCCCCTACTGCCTTTCCTATTTTAATTCCTAAATAGATCAACAAAGAAAATTTTTTTTTATTTACTTTTTATTAAAAAATTACAATTAATATGCATATGTACATACAGATGACAGAATCACAATATTAAGTCCATATAAAACTAAAATTAATTGACAAAATTTATTTAACAGTAGAAAGACGAAAAATTAGTATATACCTATATTGCCCAAAAGCAGTCAAAATGACTGAAATGTGAATGTGTAAATAAATTTGTTTAAAACTGATTTTTAAAATTTTTTACATTATTTACAGTTATATAACAAGTTATTAGTAAATATTAACACTAAAAAAATTACATGTTGAACAAAAAGTCTCAAAATTCTATCATTGTACGCGCATCATTGTTTTTCTAATTGAAATTAAAAGCAGTCAAAATGACTTCCTTAGGCAATCTAGTGTTAATGACTGAAAATATGAAAAAGCTGTATTAACATCAGGTGTCATTCTCTACAAGTTTAAAAAATGTATTTGAACTTGGGTGGATGAATAATAAGTATTCCATTATCGATTGAAAATTTGCACAAGAAATATAAATATATATGGAGATTGTGAACTAACAGTAGAAATTGCACAAGCATAAAGTACCCTTGGGACATCAAAATGACTATTTTTGTGAGACCATACCATATGCTGAAAACAACTCTAACTCTTTATAGGGTCCACCATCTGCCGCCTTTGCTCCCTTATCGGCGTGTTGGTTTCCTGCGCAAGAAAGAGGTTATCTTGCCACTTTCTCATACCTTGGCTATCCAATAGGTGGCTTTGCCGGAAGTTTAATATCTGGACCTATTAGTGAAATCAACTTTGATGGTGGTTGGTCACTAATATTTTATTTTTTTGGTAAGTGAATTTGTTCATCTAAATTAATTACGCTACATTATCATTTTTCGTTTTCAACCTAAGAATTACATTAAGAAACATTTTATTAAAAATATAGACATCGATTTTGAATTTTAAGTGTCCTAAGAGTAAAATTGTCAATTCTTGTACATTGATAAATATTAATTTTCTAGGATTATTTGGATTACTAGTCAGCGTGCTTCTGTTTACCTTGTATGCTGAAAAACCAACAGATGATACGAGAATTTCAGATAGAGAGTTGCAATATATTCTCGAACATACAAAAGGAAACACAGTTCAACAGGTATGAATTACATTCCTAAATGTGACGGAGACTATAAAACTTGAAAAATAAAAATTATAAATGAAAATAAAATGACTAAGGGTATTTTTGATTTCACGTGTTAAGGCCAGTACCTAACACTGGAAAAACTGAATATTGCTGTATAACTTGAAAGATTGATGGGGTCAATTTGGCACTTCCCAGATTGTATGTCAGATCAATTAGCCCTCCAAAAACTAAGCATATATTCACAATTAACATAATAAAAACATATTATAGACTTGATCATCGAAACTTAATGGCAATTTATTTGATTTAACTAAATTATTTGATTATATTGAACACTGACTTTTCAATTATACGCGTACATATATTTCTAAGATAAGTGAAATTACCAAAAGATTACATAAGTTGAAGAAGAAAGAAGAAAAAAAAACTGATTTATTAGTTTATCCTGATAAGTGATAAAATCTCAAACCTTTATTTGTACATTTACAAATCGATTCTTAAAAAACATTTTTTTTTATCAATTTGGACTATGAATCCCCTTATAAATACTTTGCAATAAACCATTTGAATCATTCAGTAGCAATATCCGCTGGCCGTTTGGTGGCGCTAATAGATGCAGAAATAAAATCTCGTTGCCTCTGAGTGATCATTACGATATAAAATGTAATACTAAGTAATACAGTTTTTACACAATATATTGCTAAATACAAAAAATCAAAAAAAATGCCTTCAGTGAACATTTTTTATCAATACATTCGATGATTTTATTGTTGCTGTGGGGAGAGTAGAATTCGAACCTGTCAACCTTGATCTAGAAAAAGGTACCCCAACGTAGAATCGAGTTAACGTGTCTTATATACTAGTGAATTGGAATTATAGCTTTTGTAGTGGTAGATACATTACAGTACTCCCCCGCCAGAATTATAACCGGGATAGAATTCAATGAACGTATACCCCTAGTTGATTCATTGCTGTTTTGTGAGAAACCGGGAGAGCTGTATTAAGATCACGGTCGCGGTTACTCCTGTGTTGCCATTAGCAGTCGAGTCGAGAGTGCGTAGCAACAACGTGAGGAGGTGGATAGTGTCGAAGACACAAGTAGCAAGTCAACTGTTCAATGTAGACCATCCATCGAAGTAGGCGTGTTCAGATCGAAGTGGGCACTACTGTCAAGGTAGGCGTGTTTACACAACATCCAAAGGTCACCAATGTGGGGATAGTAGTTATCGATAATGTCAACCTTCATCTATGAAAAGGTACCCCAACAAAAGGTACAACAACTACTGAATTGGAATTATATTTTTGTAGTGGTAGATACACTACAGTTGCTTTAAACCGTTTTAGTTTAACTTTCATTTAAATTTTCTACAATCCATTTTTATTTCACATGAACATTGCCATGATGAATCCTATTTCAAGAGTACTGATATACTTAATGCCCTTTTTAGAATCCTCCTATTCCATGGAAAGGAATTCTGACTTCTCTGCCCACCTATGCTTTCTTTATATCATTGTTTGGACAATACTGGATGATATTTTATTTATTAACAATTCATCCAACCTATTTAGACTCTATTCTTCATATACCTGTAAAAGAGGTGAGTAAAAAAATAATGTTTAAGTTGAATTTTTCTTTTTTTTCCCAATAATAAATTTGTCCTCTTTACAATACAATAAAAACAATTATTGCAAAGCTTCAAGTACTTTCCTGCGCATGAATAATGCCATGAGACTTAACATAAGTGTACTACCTTACCCAAAATAAAATGGGAACATCCTGAAAAACTTTTGATCTAATAATCAGATTTTCACGTTCTAATGGTACAAAAACTTCAAATTTTTAGAAGGAGGGTCAAGTTTCCGAAAGATTTGGATCTTAATCTTCAGATTATGGCGGAAGCCGCAATCTGGAAATTTTGGTCCAGATAGTTTGGTTTAAAAAAGAAAAAAAAATATGAAACCTTTAGATCGCTTGATGTTGATTTCTTTTATATATATTTCTTCATAACCTCAAAATTAAGGAGCTGAATTATAATTTTCGCACACAAGTATAAAATTTCTTTATAGTAAGATAATTTTATGTAAAAAATTATGTTTTTTATTATTAAATTTAATATTTGTAGAAAAATTTAGAATTATAAGATTCTCAAATTTTAACACTAATTTCATCATCGTATTTTTTAATTACATAATTCAAAATTTAAAAAGATTTGGTTGAATAGTTCTTTAGAAATAAAATTTTTAAAACATGACTTCTTTCATATGGCAAAATACGTAAAAGATGAAATTAGATAATCAAAACTTTTAAACGCTCTTCTGTCTAAACTATTAGAACACTATATAACAGATTACGGTTTGACCCATATTTTGTGAATCACAAATCTAAATCAGCCGAAGAAAGAGTAAGTTGATTCAGGGAAAGTATGTTTTTGCATCTGATTTCGTAACTTAAAATTTCGTCTGCGTCTGCTTTAAATAATTATTAGGTTGCTATTTATATTTCTGACCTAATAATGAAAAAACAAATATGTAGGATCGAAATTGGTTTTATTGTTTTTCAAAATATTCTCCATGACTAATTTCGGATTT